GACACCGGTAGTTGCTAATTGCTCGTCGAGCACCTCACCGGAGAAGCTCTGAATTGGTTTTCCCGTCTCGATTGCAACTCGATCGATAGTTATTACGACCTGAAAAAAATGTTCCTGCAACACCACATGGTATTCATGAAGCAAGGCGCAACAAACGCCGACCTCTGGACCATGTCTCAGAAGGAGAACGAGCCCCTTCGAGATTTTATGGAAAAATTCAAAAAAGTTGTCAGCACAATCGCAATAGCCGACGACGCGGCCATCGCGGCTCTCCGAAACGCATTGCTTTTCGGCTCAAAGTTTCGCGAAGATCTCATAATCTTACAGCCCGCGACGCTCGACGACGCCATACGAAAAGCAAGTCGATACATCGAAGTCGAAGAAGAAAAGGCGGCACGGGCGGAGCGACTCCCGAAGCCATCAAACCCAAAGTCTAAAGCATCGGAGACCAAAGCACCAGAAGAATATGTTGAACCGCGCCAACACTACGATCGAGAGTACGCCCGAAACGATAAAACGCGTAAGCCTACCACTTTTGCCGTCAACGGCCAAGAGCAAAAAGTAAACGGCAACAAGCCGTGGAACAAGTGGTACCGCGACTCCGGCACAACCTCAAAACGAGGATATTGCGAGTTTCATAAGTTCGCTGGACACACTACGGAGGAATGCCGACAACTTCAAGCGCTACTACTCGAAAAGTTCAAAAACGGAGATTTCGATATCGAAAGGGAGCGGCGCCAAGCACTCTCGCACAGGGACAACTCTTATGTTGGATACGATTCACAACAGCACCAGCGCGACGGCAAACAGATTGAGGAGGAGCCCCGCGCTCTCCGAGAAGAAGCCCGACCGCCGCCTCCCCCTAAGCGAAAGCAAGATCTTCCCCCAATCGACGATGCGTACGCAGGCCGACAGCGCGTAGATATGATAATGGGTGGTCTAACGACATGCAACGATTCGGTTCGCTCGATACGGGCATACCACCGACAAGGTGAAAATAGCCGCAGCTGGCTCACGAGGAGTAGCCCGGACGTCGAAAACTACGAACCAATCACCTTTACTGAAGCGGACGCCCTGCAAACAGGACCTAACAACGACCCGCTGGTCGTCGAATTGGCAATCGGGGAAAGCGTGGTTACAAAGATCCTAATCGACACGGCAATCTGTCAACGTAATCTTCAAAGACGTATTGATCCGGATGGGAGTCGATCTGCGCCTTGCCGAGCATAACACGCAGCCTCTTACTGGCTTTGACGGCGACACGGTCATGACAGCAGGCACGATAATGCTCCCTATCTACGTCGGGGGAACGATGCAATGCTTTAACTTTGCTATTGTTGACAAACCAATCGTGTACAACGTCATATTAGGCACACCATGGCTGCATAGAATGAAAGCTATCCCTTCGACATATCATCAATGCGTGAAGTTCCCTACTCAACGAGGAATCTATACGTTGCGAGGCGATCCATTGGTTGCGCGCACATGTTTTATCGTCGAGAGACAGCTGCGCAACGCTCGCGCCAATGCCCAAAGAATGTTTGTCATCTCTGAATCAACCCCGAAGGTGGATACACGACAAGCACCACACACGGAGCTAATCGACCAAGTCAACATTGACACAACTGATCCTGCACGTTGTGTAGGAGTAGGTGCTGACCTTGCACTCCCATTGAAAGAGGAACTCGTGAAGTTCCTACAACACAACTCTGCCACCTTCGCATGGACGATCGCCGACATGCCCGGCATCAACCCCGAAGTTACGTGTCACGAACTGAACGTCGATCCAACCTTCAAGCCTATCAAACAAAAACGAAGGAAGTTAGGTCACGATCGCGCTGCCGCAGTAAACGAAGAAGTCCGAAAACTACTCGACGCCGATTCTATAATGGAGAGTTTGTGTGGATTTTACCGATCTCAACAAAGCCTGTCCGAAAGATAGCTTTCCTCTCCCGCGCATTGACTAGCTCGTCGAAGCAACTGCCGGGAACGAACTCCTCTCGTTTATGGACGCTTTCTCTGGTTATAACCAAATTCTGATGCATAAGAACGATCGCGAGAAGACCGCATTTATCACTGAACAAGGAACATATTGTTATAAGGTAATGCCATTTGGTTTGAAGAACGCCGGAGCCACATATCAACGCTTGGTGAATCGAATGTTTGCAAGTCAACTCGGCAAAACGATGGAGGTGTATATCGACGACATGCTCGTCAAATCCACCAAGTCATCCGAACACGTGTCGCACTTGCAGCAATGTTTCGAAGTCCTGAATAAGTATAGCATGAAGCTGAATCCTGCTAAGTGCACTTTCGGAGTGAAGTCGGGAGAGTTCCAGGGATACCTCGTCACCCAAAGAGGTATCGAAGCAAATCCCAAACAGATTTCTGCGATCATCAGCCTCCCCTCCCCAAGAAACACTCGCGAAGTGCAACGCCTTACTGGACGCATTGCGGCATTAAATCGATTCATATCGCGTTCGACTGACAAGTGTCTCCCGTTTTACCAACTGCTACGCAGCAATAAACGATTCGAGTGGGACGACAAATGCGAGGAAGCTTTCAAACAGCTCAAAGACTATCTCTCGTCTCCTCCGGTGCTCGCAAAACCCGACCAAGGAGAGACTTTGTACCTCTACATTGCCGTATCAACTTCGGCGGTCAGCGGTGTCCTTGTCAAAGAGGATCGCGGCGAGCAGCACCCAATCTTCTATGTCAGTAAAACTCTTGATGGCGCAGAGCTTCGCTATCCCACTTTGGAGAAACTTGCATATGCGGTTGTCATTTCAGCGCGTAAGCTCAGGCCGTATTTTCAGTCCCACTCTGTCGAAGTTCTCACCAATCAACCACTCCGAATAATTCTCCACAGTCCAAGCCAGTCCGGCAGACTTGCAAAATGGGCCATCGAACTCGGGTAGTACGATATCCAATACAAGTATCGAACATGTGCCAAGTCACAAGTCCTC